GTAATCATATACATATATGTATATACAACATTTTATATTATAAAGTACATTATATAATCTAGCATATATATTCATATATTTTGTTTATATATATGTCTATTCTTTTTTTTTATAAAGGTACCTTTATTTTTATGTGGTGCTGAGAATTGAATCCAGTGCCTCACATGTGCTAGGAAAGTGCTTTACCACTGAGCCACAACCCAGTCCCTATATTTCTATTCTTTTCTTTGATTCCTTCTAGAACCAGAAGTTTTATAAGATTTCTACCATAAGTGATCTTAAATCCAGTTTAGTTGTCTTTGTCTTTTAATTAATGGGTTTGGACTACTTGTATTTATTGCAATTGGCAATCAATCTTGATTCATGTTTATCGTCTTACATGTTTCCTATTTCTCTTACTTTTTCTGTTCTCCCTTGAGTTTGTCAGCTTTTATTTCTGTGCAAAAATACCTAAAATCAGATTCTCAGCAGGGAGAGGGCCAGGGGCTGGGATGAGGTGTTCTCTAAGGCTCACTCCCCGTGACCCCCGTGACCCGCTCGTCCCTCCTCCCCATGGTCCCCCTCCTCCCGATGGGCCCCCCTGGAAGCCCCTCTGCCACCGGTGGGACTCGGGGGTGTTGGGGATCCGGCTCCGTCCCCTCTGCGGCTCGCGTTTCTGACCATTAGCTGAGTTGGTCTCACTCCTTGTGCGATCCTGTTGCTGTTTGGAATTTTGCACTTATTTATCTTTGAGTTGCTGCCTTGGAAGCTTTCACTTTTAAGTCCAATGAAGTTTTAAAAAAAGGGCAACAACTATTTTGCCTCCTCAAAACCACACAGATGTTAGAAGGGTCAGCTCCCGGGTTCCCCTCTTGTGGGCCTCTCTCCCTATTCTGTTCTTAAATCTCATTTGTAAATCCCTCAGGCTGGGTCTGGTTTGGGGTTTGGATTGTTTGCAGGTGACTTTGCTTAGATCTTTCTGTATTCGCCATTCTCTCTGCTCACTGTTCCGGTTTTTGTCCCGCGCCCCCCGCCCCCTGCCCCTACCCCAGCTCTCTTAACGTGGCTTGACTTCCATCTGGAGTAGGTTCTTTAAATTTTTCTCTTGAAAAGTCAGGGGTGGATCACATGAGCATGGTGAGTCGGTGTCTGGGAATGTCCCTCCCTCCTTTCCGTGCTTAAGGTAGTTCCGAGTGCGAGGTTCTGCACTTCCTCTGGGTGGTCACCCCTCTCCTCTGTCCTCGGCTGCTGCTGAGACAGGTCCACCTACAGTCTGGCTTTGGCTTCAAGCGGGTGAGATCTGTTTCCTTTGGTTCTCGTATGTCCCTGGTCGTCTCTGCCTGGCTCTCCTGTCATTCCCTGAGGTGTGTGCAGGGTGCAGTCTTTCTTTCCAACGCTCTCTCTTTCTCGCTCTGTTTTATTAGGTTGTTGTATGTGAGCAGCGAGGCCTTTCTGCTCTTGCTGGACAGTCTCCCCCGCTCTCTGATGGAGTACGCCCTGCGCCTCTCGGTGCTGACCCCCGGGGCCCCCGTCCCTTCTGCCCTCTCCCCTCTTGGCCTCCTCTAGGTCAGAGCCTCTGTCTGCGTGTGTGCTGCCTCGACTTCCCACCCCACAGCTGTCTCTCGAGCCTGTCCACCGGGTTTCTAACTTTCGTTGTTGTCTGTGTTGGTGTCTGTTGACCGTCTACTGGGTTATTTTTCAAGACAGCGCCATGATGTTCACCGTCCTGCTGCTCCGGGCATGTCTAGAAGCTGGATTTCTTAGCATCTCCCCAAGTGTTCGCTTTGTGTGTGGCTTAAGGAAGGCGGAGGCTGCAGGCCTTGTGGGGCGGCCTCCGCCTGCTCTTCCTGGGGCCATTGTGCGAGCAGCACCTCCCTTTTAGTCCATTTCGTGACTTTTGACCAAGCTCAATTTTCCATGATGTGGGAGTGAAGATCTCCTGAGGCCTGTGCAGACGGTGCCTTCTGTGGAAGATGATTTTTATTGTATTACTTCTGTTTGGGGCGTTAGATGGGACAGCGTCACAGTGATTCCTCTCTGGAGGGATACTTTTTCCTTTTTAACACAGTTGGTAGGCGCTGAGGCTGCGAAGCCACAGGAGAATTGGCTTGGATTTCAAATCATCAGGGGAAGATTTAATTTTCTTTTTTAAATTTTCTATCCACTGAGCTCCAAATTCAAGCCAAGATAGTTCTTTACTGGATTTTCTGTGAGTCTTTGTGTAGTTCTGGATCGCCAGTGTCCTGAAGGGACTGCCAGTGTCTTAGCAGGTCCCCGAGTCTGTGGGGCTCTCTTGGAGACAGCCCCCTTGGGCTGGCCAGCTCACCCTGGGCCTCGCCCTGGGCCCCGGGCCTGTGCAGCCGTCCTCAGGTCATCTTCAGGGCCAAGGACCACAGGGTTCCCCTCCCCTGCTGGACTCCCACCTTTGGGGGAGTCAGTCCTGGTCCGTCACCACGGCACAGACCTGGGTGGACAGGTGCCTCAGAGGCGGAGGGCTCATGCTGCTGTGGGGTGGAGGCCTCTGTCCATGGCTGGGGCCTCTTTGCTTTTGGGTCTGAGGGAGGCAGCACACCTTGGTGGGCCTGTGCCGTGGAGCAAGCCCAGTCACCACCAGCCAGGGAGCAGAAGGACGGGGAAGGGGCCAGCATCCCAGGCTCCCTTTGGGGGGCAGGACCCTGGTGACCCAAGTTCCCCTAAAGATTCCGCCCCTCCCCGCAGTGCCACCCTGGGACCAGGCCATGAACATGGGGCCTCTGGGGACATTTGAGACCCAGACCATGGCTCCCATGTTGGCCGGTCCCGGAGAGCTGAGGTGGGGACAGTGTTTGTCCCCAAAGGTGTGTGCTTTGGGATGGGTCTTCAGTGTGGCAAGGCTGGCAGGTGGTGGACCCTTAAGAAGCGGGGCCTAGGGGGAGACTCTTAGTGCCCTCAGGAGGGACTGTGGGACCCTGTCTCTCTCTGGCTCCCGGTTGTGAGAGGTGACCTCTTCCTCCTGAATGCACTCTGTCCCCGGGCCCTCGTCAGAGCCTGCCATGTGCTGTGCGGACTTGTGTCCTCCCAAACCGTGAGCTAAGTGGACCTCTTTTCTTATGAAGTTCACCTGCCTCAGGCGTTTCGTTTCAGTGATGGGGAGAGGATCCCTGCACCGAGGTTTGCGCCTTCCTGCCCACTCAGCAGCATTTCAGATGGGACTTTTAGAGCAGTGTTTTATTGGGCGTTTTACTTGCTGTCAGAAGGGCTGTTTGTTCCATGGGTCTTTTATAACTGTGTTCGTTTCTTTTATCACTGCATTTCCCCGCTTTCTCTCCAACCCTGCTTCCATTCTGCCTCCAAGCTCCGCGAGCCCCACTGTCAAGGACCGGGTGATGGCCGTGGAAACCATTCGGTGCGGCTCTGTATAAACGTCCCTCACCTCTGCGTGCACATTGTGCACAGACGTCACTGTCTCCTCGTCCCCCGCCTGACTGAGACCCCTCCAGGCTGGTGGACCTAATAGTTCACGTCCTGCCGTGGCCGCAGGTGATTTTGCAAGGGGCACCCACCTCCTTGCTGGCCACCCTCCCTACATGCAGGCAGTCAGGTGCAACAGTGAGGGGTCACCTGGTGCGGAGGGACTTCCTTCGAGGCAGGTTGACGGTTGGCTTGATGGGGTGGGGCCTGTGAAGGGGGACAGCCCACTCTGTTCCATTCCGTCTGTCAACCGCTGGCTGTGCTTTTTGGGGCCTGAGAGTGAGGGACGGCCTGCTGGGTCTCCTGCGCTCTCCTGGGCCCTGAGCCCTCTCTGCTTCCTGAGGTGGCTGGGCCTTGTCCTGGGGACCCCTCCTGAAGACAGGCGCTCCTCCTTCCATCCTTTGTCTATTTGCTGGGACACAGTCAGGGGGTGCAGATGCCACCTACAGGCCTAGGGAACCGTCTGGGGGTCCATCTGGAGCGGGTGGGTGGGACGTGCAGGCGCGTCAGAAGCTAGACCGTGTCGTGCTGTGGAAATGCCCCACCCGGGCTCCCCGTGGCCCAGAACAGCAGGCTCACCTCGTGCTGCATGAACTGGGGAGTGGGCCGGGGATCCCAGGTCTGTTCTCACGCCTCTTTGTTTGGGAATTAAGTGGCAGGAGAGGCTATTACTTGGGACTGTCCATTCTTTAAACCTTGGGAAAGGGGTAGCTAAGCCTGTGGAGGTGTGTGATGGCCCCGAACGCTTCCTGCTCACGCTTGATTGATTAAAATGAGCCCCTGGTCCTTGGTTACAGCAGACTGCTCCCCTGTGGGGACACACCCCAGGTCACAGGGGACAGGATGCACGGTGCTTGGGCAGGGGAGGGCCGTGAGCACTGGGAACAGAACCCCAAGGGTGAGTTTCGTCCCTGGGGCTGGGGAGCAGAGCTCAGAGGCACCCGGAGGGAGTGGAGGGAGGCCTAGGTGCTGGGGACCACCGGGTGCAAATAGTTCTGCCTCGCACCTCTGTGGGACCCACTCTGTGGCTGCTTCTGTGAGCTGAGAGCCACATGAGGGAGCTCTGTCACCCTCTGGAGCCCAGGCACCGCTGCTGCAGGGTCCTCCAGGGAAGGTGACCAGGGGTGGATGGTCAGCCTCAGGTCATGTGCAGGCCAACGTGGGCAGGAGCTGATTGCACAGGGCAGGGGATATGCTCCCCAGGTATGAGGGGAGGAAGGGACAGAGGTGGGGGAGAGGGAGGGGGAGAGATCGATTCTCACGAAGTGGCCCATGTAATTTACAGACAGTGGAAAGGCAGATCCAAGTCCCAAATCAAAATCTGCAGGCCAGGCCAGGCCAGGCCGGCGGGCTAGAGAGCTGGTGCTAGAGAGCTGGGGTTTGGCTACTAGATGCCCCACAAAAGCTCATGTGCAAGGATTTTCAGAGGTGAGATGAGTGGACTAAGAGAGGTTTAAGCGAATCAGTGGTGGGTTAACCCACTGATATGGATTACCCGGGGGTAACTGTAGGCATGGGGTGGGGCTGGAGGAGGTGGGTCACTGGGGCTGTGCCTTGGGGTTTATATTACATCCCCTGTGAGTGGAACTCTCTCTGCTTCCTGGTCGCCATGTCCTGAGCGGATTTCCTCCACCACACCCTCCCACCATGGTTCCTGCCTCCTGTAGAGCTATGGAGTTGGCCCATCATGGACTGAACCTCTGAAGCCGTGAGTCAAAATAAACCTTTCCTCCTCTACGTTGTTCTTGTAGGGTCTTTTGGTCACATGGTTGTAGTTCACGTTCAAGGGTGATGTGAGGACAGTGTTCCTTCTCACTCCCAGGAGGCCAGTCTTAGTTCTGGTAAGGCCAGAGGTCCACCCACATCGTGGAAGGCGACCTACTCAAAATCCATCCACTTAAATGCCAGCCCTATGCAAAGGTCATCTTTACAGAACACCAGGCACACGGCCCAGCCACGTTGACCCTGCAAGTCAGCCACTGTGTTCGTGGGTGCCAAGGACAGCTGGCTGGGGACACAGGTGTTTTCCACAGCACGTGAGGCTGGGCCAGTGCGGTGACTTTCACGTCTGGCAGTCAGGGACATCGGGTGGGTGGGTGCTTCTCGCCACCACCGGTGCTCTGGATCCGTCTTCTCCTTAGACCCCGAGCCCTGGAGGGTGGAGTGGGCTCCGCTCCTCCGGGTCCTGCCCAGGTTTGCTCAAAGAAGGAATCTGCACACTTTTGTAAGATTTGAATGCAGATTTCCTTGGAGCAGATTTTCTGACCTTCCAGGTGCTAAGTGAGCTGCACTTCCTGGTCTCAGAGCTGGGCACACGTGCCCACTAGGTGCTCGTCCAGCGTGGGGGAGAGGACGGCTCGCTAAAGGCCCGGGTGCTGCCGAGCCAGCGAGGAGGAGGGTCAGGGCTCCTGTTGGAAGAGGGCCTGCCGTCACCTGCCCCTGCACACGCCAGCTCTGAGCGATGGCGGGAGGCGTGGTCGGGGGAGAGCTTGGCAAGGGTTCCCACGCTGTGGGGGGAGTCGGGACGGTGCCTTTGGGTTTCTGATCCGGGGACCTTCGCAGCTTTCTTTCACCATCAGATCCACCCACGGCCGTCCCCGTTTGTCAGGTGAGGAGAGCAGGAGCCCCGACCGTCACCCGAGGCCCTTTCCTGAGGGCCCACCCACCTCTGTCCCTCTCCTACCCTGCAGACTCTCGGGTTTCTGTCACTCACTGCTCAGTCCCCAGACAGGCTGTTCCCTGCTGCTGGTCCCCTGCGCCCAGGCCCTTCCCTGTGGCCTGAACCCTCTGCTCTTCCACAGCCACAGCGGCCCCTTGGTCTCTCAGGGCTGAGTCCAGGCCCCTCCACTAGCCTTCCCCGAGTGCCAGGGCTGGACCGGGCACCTCTCAGCCCTCGGGACACCTGCCCTGCCTCAGCGGGGCTCGGGCCCTGTATTTTCCTCTGTTCACCTGTGTCCTGGCCGCGGGTCCTGGAGGGGGGGGCTGTGCGCTCATCAGTTTCCGCCCCCCAGGTGCGCGGCAGGCGCTCAGCCCCCTCGCTGACTAAGGGCCGCTGTGCCTGCCTCTGCCTCTGAGGGACGGCAGCTGAAGTCAATCGCTGTCCTGGTTGCGTGGTCCCCTCCCTCAGGCCTGCGGGGTGCTGCCCCAGGCTGAGGCTGTGTGACTCTGGGAGGATATTTATTTATCTCATAACGGGAGAAATGGAACCCTGTTTCCTTGCTTACATTTATGAGTAAAATGTCCTCTTAGGTAGTTTAAAAAAGCAAGTTTTAGACCATTAACTTTTTTTTATTTTACTTTTTATTGGAGTTTAAATAACAAGGTGCGCGGGGAGCACAATGCGGGCGATTATGAAGTAGTAAAGGCATTTAGAGTCCTCCAGGGGCGGGCGCGTGGCTCGGAGCCAGGGGGAGAGGAAGACTGGCCATATCCACTCCCGGCCGTTTATCCAACCTTCGTTTTAATGGAGAAACCTGTTAAAACAAAACAGAAATGGAGATGGAATCCTCCGCAAGAGGCTGCAAGGAGGCTCCGGGCTTTGGACTCGGGACTAGCAGGACCCACTTGGTGGGGTGGCAGGGCACAGCTGTCCCCAGCGAGCTCGGCCCCCTTCCTTCTAGGAGGTGTGGGATGGAGGTGGCCAGTCTGCAGGGGCCGCAGAGGAGAGCCCTGGGCAGGGTCAGCCGCCTGAGGCTGCAGTCCCAGCTGTCCAGCCACCACCAGGTGCCTTGGCAGATCCTGCCTGGGCTCTGAGCCTGAGTTTCTCATCTGTGTCCCAGGGGCAGGCGTAGACCTTGTCCCGCGGGGTGCGTCATGACAGGCAGGTCAGATGGCGGGTCATGACAGGCAGGTCAGATGGCGGATGGGCGAAGAAGTGCCTTTGTCGAGGAAGAGAACACACGTGTGAGGGATTCCTTAGGAGACCGTCCTGTCCTCTTGCTCGTCAACCAGGCACTTCCTGAGCAGCCTTTAGAAGAAGGAAGTGGCACGGCTGGCGGCCACCGCCTGGGCCTCCCAATCCTCCCCAGTCTGCCGGTTCTCTGGCCCTACCCCTTCTGTCTGCAGTGTGCAGGATGAGGCCTGCTCTCATGTCCAGTCACCAGGGTCACTCTGCAGCCTCGGGTGGGAGCTAGAGATGAGGCGACTTAGCCCACGTCCCTCTCTGTGCAGGCCTCTGGACGTGCGGTGCAGGTCTGGCCGGGGTCTGATGCTGGTTCTGGGGGACTGCAGGAGAAGCGAACAGGGAGCTGGTTTCACGCCGTCAGATCACCCGGATGCACTTGGAAAGGTTCTGAGCAACTTCAGCCCTGCGGTCGTGACACCAGGACTCACATAAGGCATTAGGGCTCGGGGTGGGGTGGTGGTGGTGTGGGGGAGTGGGGGGGAGGCTTCCCGAGAGGAAACCCAGCCGCTCCGCGGTGCTCGTTCTGGACCCTCTCGTCTCCCCACCTTACGGTCTCCCCGACTCCCCTCCTTCCCCGAGATCCCGTCTTTCCTTCCCTCCTCCTTCCTTTATGTCCTCCAGCTCCCGCAGGAGAGGAGGCACTGACCTTCGGGTCTCCTCCACTCAGCACGCTGCTCTCCGTTCCCACCCACAGCCCAGAGGCACTGAGGGGGACAGGATGGGACGTTCTGGATGACGACACTCTGGGTGGGGACCCCGGGGAAGGGCCAAGGGTGCCTGAGGGCAGGAAGTGTGGCAGGGCGGCCAGGCTCTTGACCACGTGTGGGAGACCGAAGCCAGAGGCTCCCTGCCCGAGGAGGACAAGGAGCCGGTGTCTCGGCGTCTCGGCGCCTGTCGTGCTGTGGGGAGTTCCGCAGCCACAGCGGCCATTCGTTCACCACCTGTGCTTGCTGGGTCTACGGCCCTGTCCCTGCTAGCCACGGACACAAGATCAGGTTCTCTGCACGAGGTGACAGGGCGCAGGGCAGGAGCTCAGGTGGGGAGCACCCACTGGGTGCCGACCTGCGTGCAGGGCACTCTCCCCAGAGCTGAGCGGACAGGAACCCTGCCCTCATGGTCAGCTCATGGTCAGCAGAGTGGTCTAGAGTGCCATGAGCCAGAGATGCAGCTCAGGAGATGTGACCGTAAGGAAGGGCCCTAGGGGTCTTGGGGTGACTTCTGGGTTGGGGGGCTGGGAAGGCCCTTCTGAAAAGGGGTCTGTGAGTGAAGAGCTGGACGGAGAGAGGAGAGGGGCAGGGGGAGGCCCGCTGAGATGTCGCTGGGTCGGGAGGGGAGTGGAGGTTCCAGGGGACGAGGCGGGAGAGGGCTGTACCCCAGCACTGAGGCACAGCGGGGCGGAGGGTGTGGGACTTTGGACATAAGGTGAACAAGTAGGTGAGGCCGTAGGCTTCCCTGGGAGCAGGACAGATAGCGTGGCCAGTAACCAGGTCTGCAGGTCCCGTCACCGTGAGGTCAGCAGGCGGCCGGGGCCCAGGAGGATGCTGGAAGGACACCTAAGTGCACAGCGACGTCATCAAGAAGCATGGCAGGACTTACAGGGGAGAGGGGCCATGGGCCGGGGAGGGTAGGGGGGCTCAGGAGGAAGCGCTGGGTAGACTGGCCGCAGACACGGGATTCCCAGCTGAGGGGTTTCCAGGAGGGCGCAGCCTGGGCTGCTGCCGGAGCAACAAGCAGAGGACCCCAGCCCAGCCCAGCCCAGCCCAGCCGCTCAGGAACTTAAACATTTCTTCCCGTGTGAGGTGATAGGGACACAGGGAGGAGCTGAGTCCCCAGTGGACGGGGTGGAGGTCATCCAGGAGGGACGACTCAGGCAGAGGCACCTCCTGGGGCAACCTGGAGTCCCCAAGGGTCTCGGGAAGGTCCTGGTGTCCCAGCCAGGAGAGCTCAGCTGCCTCTCGTCAGGGGTGTGCTACCCTCTGGCCTCCAGCCCGAACCTGAGAAGGAGGGTTCGTCCTGGCTGTCACCTTGGTAAAGACACACACACACACTTCCTTGGGTGACAGCTGACTTCTGTTATTCCCTCCTTCCCTCTCTGCCCAGGTTTCTTCTTCTGTCCCTGTACAAGGACACCTGTTTGGGTTGCCATGTGAGTCACACAGGTGCTCCTGAGCACACTGCTGACCTTCCGTCGCGTGGGTGGCGCCCCAACGTGCTAAAGTCGGGCTTGACCTGTCTGCCTCAGGCCCTCGTTCTAAATCAGAAAATGCTGCGCGGAGAACGTCTTTCCCCTGCTCTAGACCAGCAGGTACGGGAGGAGCACACCCGCGCGCACACACGCACCCAGGCACAGTCCGCAAGGCAATTTCCGAATCTACTATGATCGCTATGTTCAGTCTAATTGAAATGAAATTGGAGTTGATTTAATTATTGTCATTTAGAAAACTAATTTTTGCTGGATACATGTGTGTTACATAGAAATCCAAAAGAACCTGAAATTCCAGTGAGTGATTAGTTCATTATGTAGGCTAATTGCTTTTACAGTTATAAATAAACCCCAAATACCGCAGATCTAAAGTACACACCTGTGTGCTAATTGCTTTTCTGAGGGCTGTTTCCATGGCTGCAGAGTTGAGTTCTGCCACCCACAGATCGGATGGTGCAGGTGGATGCGGAGCTGCCCTCCAGAGAAGGAACAGTTGTGCAGGACTTCCGGACTGCCCAGCCCTGGACAGCGCCACCCCTGGCATCCAGGCTGACTTGGAATTCCAGAAGGAGAGGACCTGGGTGCAGAAAGGTGGCCCACTGGAGGGAACGTGGCCTTCAGACTGAAGGCAGCACCCTCCGTGCCCCACAGCGTGCGGGACCTGCTCTGGAGCGGGCGCCCTGCTCCTTCCAGTTCAGAACCTGAGTTCCCCACTCCGTGCAGTTGGTGGAAAAATGCTTTCTCAGGAACATTTTAAAAAGAAACTAATGACCAGAACTCTGGATGCTTTAGTTAAATATGTGCATTTTAAAAAGCTTGTTTCTGCGTGAATTTGCATAATGGTTCTTTCCCATAGGCCACAGTTACCTTTCCCTCTGTTTAATAGACTCAATGTTGCATTATTAACAACCATATGCAAAATGATGACCTCAGGAGGCTCCTTCCCCCAAAATGGCTTCTTCCCTGATTATCTGCCTGTGCCCTCTGCGGCCGAGCAGCTCGTAATGGGGCAGCAGCGTTTCTTGGCTGATGAAAGCCCAGGGCGAAGGAACCTGGCTCGAGGTACAGTGACCTTCCTTTCTGAGCCTGGCGCACACAGGAGCCTTTTCATCAGAAGGCGGGGTGTCGGCCCATGGGCGCTGCTGTGACAGGGCCCCTGTGTGTGACGCGGTAAGGCCAGAGTTGATCTCCAGTGGTTCTGGAGGCTGGGGTCCAAGACCAAGCTGCCACAGGCGGGGTCACGGGGAGCCTCTGCAGGGCCCAGGCCTGCGCTCACCTGGTGGAGCGGGAGCCTCTTTCTGGGGGCCTTCACCCCCCTTGTGGGGCAGCGGCTCTCACGACCCCTTCGCTCCTTAAAGCCTCCCCTCTTTAAACAGCCGCAGAGGCAGTGCCCGAGTTCTGGAGAGGACACATCCAAAACAGCGTACGGCCACGTATGTTTTCCCTTTGATTTTGAAATAATTTCCAACATTAAAAAATAAGTTGCAAAAATACTCCCCCCACTCCGGAGCCCTCTTCAGGTTCTGTGAAGTTCCCAGCGATGAACTTGGTGGCAGGAGGCCCCCTGCAGGGCCAAGGCTGGGGCGTCTCCTTCTCTGGGGCCTCTCTGGAACAGTGTCTCAGCTTCTGCTCCACATTCAGGGCCTCGCTATTTTGAAGGCGGTGGACCATCTTGTAGGAACGCCTTAGCTTGGCCTCACCCTTCCCCGTGCCTGAGCCAGCGCATCCCGCGCAGGATGTGACACTGTTGGCGACGGCTCCCTCTTGGTCACCATGAGGTCGTCTGCCCCTGTTGTTAGGGCACCAGCGGCTGTGCCTGTTCCCATAGTCACTTAGCAGTGGAAAACCATCACCTTTGGTGTGTGAAGAACTCGGATGGCTGGGCGCCGCCGCGTGGGGTCACACGTGGGGTCATGCATGGGTCACGTGTGGTCGGAGCTGGTGGCTGGAGGTGGTCCAGGAGCCCTTCCTGTGGTCCAGGACCCCTCCTGGGCCCGCAGCCCAGCCCTCCCCTGGCCTGTGGGGAAGGACCTCGCGGCTGCTGGAGTCCCACCTGGCAGCTGGCTTCCCAGGGCGCACGTCCCCAGGACACAAGTCCCCAGGGCGCATGTCCCCAGGACACAAGTACAGGACAGCTCTGTGACTCAGCCTCAGGTCACTCCCACCATACTCAGTGGGTCAAGGTCATCGCCTAGCCAGACCAGGTCAAAGGTGGCTATGGGCCTCCCAGTCAGTGGCAGGAGGTCAAGGCCGCGATGGGAGGCTGGGGAATGGAAGCTGCTCTGGGAAGTCCTGCCTCGGTTCAGACTGTGTCTCTGAGCTCTGTTTATCTCACTCTGGCTGACGGCACCCTGCGGGAGGCCACCCAGCCCACCTTCACCCCAGAGCTTCTCACCCTCTCAGGGTCCCGCTTGAGCTACTTCCTGCTACACAGTTGATAACTCACGAGTTTCTGATTTTATCATTTTTTCCACATTTATTATTTGAATCCTTCTGTAAAGAAGAAAGTCTCTGCTATTTTTTCTTTTATTGGCATGGGCTTATTTGTTTTATGTATTTATATCAGCATGGGTTCAGGGTTCCAATGTTACTCAAAAGACACTCATATTGGGCTGGGGATGTGGCTCAAGTGGTAGTGCGCTCGCCTGGCATGCATGCGGCCTGGGTTCGATCCTCAGCACCACATACAAAGATGTTGTGTCTGCCGAAAACTAAAAAAAATAAATATTAAAAAATTCTCTCTCTCTTTCTTTAAAAAAAAAGACACTAATATGTCACTCTCAGAACTTACCAGGTTGCTGATATTGTCCCAGATTTGGCCAGTGGGAGCCCCCAAGCTGATATTTGTGTCTTAAAAAAAAATAACAGCTTGGCTGAAGTATATTTGAATATTACAAAATAATGCTGCTCTGAGCATCTGCCAACTTCTACAAGGACCTCGACTTGACTATCTTATTTTGGGGGGTGGGGTGGGGCAGGTACCAGGGATTGAACTCAGGGGCACTCAACCACTGAGCCACATCCCAGTTCTATTTTGTATTTTATTTAGAGACAGGGTCTCACTGAGGCTGGCTTTGAACTCGAGATCCTCCTGCCTCAGCCTCCCGAGCTGTTGGGATGACAGGCATGGGCCACTGTGCACGGCCTTGAGTATCTTTTGGGCACATAGATCCCTAGAAGTGGAGCGTCAGGGTCTCAGAGTGGGCGTGACTCAACCTCAGGGCCTGTCTGCATGATTCCCAGCTCCCAGCCCCAGTCGGAAGCCGTCCACCCCAGGCTCGGCTCTGGCCAAGTACTTGAGTCTGAGTAGTGTTGTCTCATCATGGGTTTTTACTCAATTTCCCCAGAAGAGGAAGTTTAATTACCATTCGTGTGTTTTCTTTGGTGAGTATTTGTTGTTGAAATCTCCAGCCTCCCTTTATGAAATTTGACTGTGTTTGTTTTCTTGAATTTGGGCAGTTTTTTTTTTTATACGTTCTGGGTACATATCTTTTGTCTGATGAATGATTTGAAAGTATTTTCTTCTGGTATTTTAATTCTCTTAACAGGGTCTTTCAATAAAGAGATCATTTTAACTTACATTTCTTCAAATTGTACTTGGGTTACGTATCTAAGTAAGCAGCCCAATTCCAAGTCACAGTATTTTTCTCTTATGTTTTATCCTAGAAGTTTTATGATTTTCAACTGTGTATTGAGTTCACCTTTTATACGGAGACAGGTGGGGATAGAACTGCATTTTCTTTGCCTGGGTGTATCTGACTTTCAACACCCTTTGTGAAGGTGTGATCCACGCTCACCCAACTTCCTCCACATCTTTTCCCAAAATCAATTGACCATGTATTTGTAGATATATTTCTACATCCATAAAGATTTGAAGAATCTTTACTCTGTTTCATTGATATGCTTGTCTGCATTTATACCAATACCATGCTGTCTTGATTTCTATAACTCTGAAAGAAATCTTGCAATTGTGAAATGTCAGTTGTTCTGTTGTGTCCTTCTTTTGCAGAGTTGTTGAATCATTTTAGTTCCTTTGCATTTCCATAGAAATTTTAAGAATTGTTAATTAATTTCTACAACAAATCTGCTGGGATTTTTCTTTGTACTGGTTTTATGTTGAGTCTACAGATTAATTTGGAAAGAACTGACATCTTAACAATATTGAATTTCTCAATAAATGAACATATTATATAATTTCTGTTCACATATGATCTTTTAATTTCACTCAGCAATGTCTTGTAGTTTCCAGTTTATAGGTTTTTCCACATATTTTGTGAGACTTACCCCCAGTATTTGATATGTTTTTTTGCTACTATAAATAGCCCTTTTTAAGTTTCAAATTTTGATTGTTACTAATACATATGTGGTTGACTTTTGCCGTATTGATCTTGTGTTTTGGAATCTCACTAAACTCACTAATTCTAGCTTGTTTTGTAGATTTCATCAAATTTTTGGAAGACGGTCGTGTTATCTGTACATAAAGACAACATTGTGTCTTTCCTTCCCATCTGGGATGCCTTTTGTTTCTTTTTCTTGCCTTATTTCACAAGCTAGCATCGCCAGTACATGTTGAGTAGAAGAGGTGAGAGCGGAAATCATGGTGTCTCTAGGGAGTGTGAACTTCTTTGGACTGGAAGTTTCTCCCAGTACTGGGAAGATGCTGCTTCTTTGCCTCGTCTTCAATGTCATTTCTGATGAGAAATTTATTGATTACATTACGTGTGCTTTTATATCACTTCTGAGTCCTTGCCTATAATGACATTTTCTTCTCTGATTTTAAGATTTTCTGTTACTGGTTTTGAAATATTGATTATAATGTGCTCTGGTGGCTGCTTCCTTAATCTTTCTTGGGTTTAGGGTTCATCCAGCTGTTCAGATCTTTATAGTTGCCATCAAATTTGGAATATTTCATCAAGTACTTTTTCTTTCTCCTTCCCCTTCACTCTCTTGTCTTCCTTCAGGGGCCCAGATCACACCTGCCTTAGGCGGTTTGACGCCATCTCAGAGCTGTTTCTGTTCACTTTAAACATGTTTTTCTGTTGTTCATTCTGGGAAGTTCCTGTTGCCCTGTCTTCACGATTATAGCTTCTCCTTCTGCCGTTGAGACTTTCCAGTGTATTTCTCCTCTCACACATCACAGTTTTCATCTCCGGATGTTCAATTTGGGACATTTTTGTTTGTCGTCTTCCATGAACATATGGAATTAACTTCTTGAACATATGGGATGCAGTCGTAATAGCTGTTTTAATGTCCTTCTCTGCTGGCTCTAATATCTGTGTCATTTTGGGTTAGTTCTGGCTGTTTCTCTCCTCATCCTGGGTCATATTTTTTCATGTCTTTACATGCCTGGTAAGTTTGGGCTGGGTGCCAAGACTTGTGAGGTTCATTCACCTTGTTTGATGCTGGATATTTGTGTTCCTAGAAATATTCTTGAGCTTTCTCCCCTTGCCTACCCTCCCGTGGGATGTGACTTGAAACAGGTCTTGCTTTTAAGGCAGGTGAGGTGAGCATTAGAGCAGCATCCAGTCCAGAGCTCATCACTTCCAGCTCCTGAGATCAGAGTCTTCTGAGTCGAACCCAGTGCAAGGTGGCAAGTGAGTTCTTTCTTCCCGCCTGGTGGGGGGACCCCACTATTCTTGGTCCTGGGTGTATATTCGTCACTGTTACCTTTTGTTCTCAGGGATGGCTCTTCTCCTGGACTTAGATTGCTGTCCTCCTATTCCTGTGCTGATCAGTATTGAGCCCATTACTCGTGGGGAGGGCTCCCTGTGGGTCATTGGAGGTTCCCCTGCACTTTCCTCCTTGGTGGTCTGTCTTTTTTCCCCCTGGCTCTGCTCTGTCTCCTCAACTTGGGAGGCCACTGGGTTCTGCCTGGGGTCTCCTGTCCTGAATTACAGCCCAGACACGCTCTCAAGTCCCAGGCTCCCTGGCTGGCTTCCCGACTCTCAAAGCCCCCTCTTCTGTTGCCTGTGGTCCAGCCTCTTGCAAACCATTGTTCACCTGCCAGTTTTTTGGGTGATGTTAGGGAGTAGAGTAAACTCAGTCCCTGGAGGCAGAGATCATCTGCATCTTTGACATTCCCATCCCTCACTGGGAAATTCTGACCCATCAAGATCATCTCATTCTTCCCCTGCCCCAGCCTGGAGTCTGCCATTTCTCCGAGGAGTCTTGGTTCCTGGTAGTGGAAAGCAGATGTGTGGGCAACAGCTATGATTGATTTTGTGGGTCATCCTGCTGCTGTCAGGCCCTTTTGGGGAATACAGTTTGGAGATGCAGGGTGGGTGGACCTGGCGCCTTCACACCTGCCTTTATTCGTATATTCAGGCTGCGGTGTCCACCACCCTTGGTGTGACCAGGGCTTGCGTGGGGGAGGCGGCAGTGGGGAAGGCCGCGCACGGGCCTGCTGGCTCTGCTCCCATCCTTGCCCGCCCCTTCCTTTTGAACTTCTGTGAGCATTTAAGACCATCAAACAGGTTGGAGGGCACCCAGTCCTTGGGTATGGTGTAGTGCCTGGCCCAGGGTTGGGCTACACTGGGAAGATGCCTTCATCACAGGAGGGTGGCACACCGGGTGGCCCTGCCTAGTGGGAGAGGGAGGGGGAGCCAGCTGGGTCACAAAGGCCTCCACCAGGGACATCCGGTGTCCAGCAAAGAGCAGCACATTGTGATGAGCCAAAGCCCCAGGCAGGCCACACCCCAGGGACAGTGCCCAGGACAGTTCCCAGCACAGGTCTCCTGTCTGGAGCCTCCCGCTCCCCGCAGCGGCTGGCTGGGTCACCAGATGCAGGCACGTCCTCATCCCGGGCAGACAT